TGGCCAGGCTGATTTCTAACTCCTGGCCTCAAGTGATCCACCAGCCTCGGCCTCCCAAGTGCTGAAATTACAGGCCTGAGCAACTGCTCTTGGCATCTTAACCCTATTTTTAAATTGAGGACACTGATAATCAGAAAGATTTTGTGTCTGGGCATGGTGGCTCATGCCTATGATCTCAGCATTTGAGGATCACTGGAGCCCAGAACTTCGAGACTAGCTTGGGAAACATAATGAGACACTGTCTCTACAAAAAATTAACAGGGCGTGGTTGTACGTGCGTGTGGTCCAAGCTACTAAGTAGGCTGAGGTGAGGGGATTGCTTGAACCCACAAGGTTGAGGCTGTAATTGCACCACTGCACTCCAGCCTGGGCAACAGAGCAAGGCCCTATAAGAAAAAAAGAGAGAGAGAGAGAGATGGGGTGGGGGTGCAGGGAGAGAGAGAAGGGGGAGAGGGGAGGGGAGGGGAGGGAAAAAGGAAAAGAAAGATTATGTAATTTGTTCAAGATTCCATGTGTGGTAGGGGGAGAACCAGAACCAAGGTCTGCTCAACTGTGAATCCTGAGGTCATTTTTCCATATCCTGCTGCCTGGGTCCTTTTTTCTGTGTTTATTTAACTGCCTTCCCTTCAGATGGTCACTGTCATATGACTTACAGTCTTGCTTCTAAAAAATCTAGCCCTTAGACCAGCATCGTTGGCATTACCAGAAACCCCATTAGAACTGAAGAATCTCAGTTGCTCCAATGCCCAGCCACCATGCCCAGACACAATCTCATTCATCCTACTGAATGAGATTCCGAATTTTTGTAAGATCTCCAGGTTATTTCAATCTCCTTTACAATTTAAGAAACACGGGTCTAGAGAAAGATCTAAGGGTATTTTAAGCTGTGGTTCTCAAACTTTATGGCATACTGATATCTCTTGGAATCATTTTTAAGTCCTGATATCCAGGCCACAACCCCTATCAATTAAATCAAATCAGAATCTCTGGGGATGGAGCCTAGCATATGTTAAAACTCCCCAAGTGATCCAAAGTCTAGCCACATTTGAGAGCTAGGTCTTAAAGCAATGCTGTTAGTCCTCCGTGTTCCTAAGAATAATGGGAGCTTCTCATATTCACATGCTGATTTAGTAGATCTAGTGTGGGACCTGAGATTCTGCATTTCTCACAAGTTCTTGAATGGTAGTTTCTGCTGCACCAAAGAGTTTCTGAAATAAAATGAAACTACCAAGAGCCTCCTTCAACAATATCAACAAATACAAATAGTATCTAATCAAAGGAAGCTTCTCTACGGCACAGTCTTGGCCTTCTAACCCCATCTGAGAGCAAAAAAGGAACTCTGGGAGAAGGGGTGGAGGTGCTTACAAGGCTCTCTGGGTTACTTCACACCTGGTGCTGGGCGGACCCACCTAGGTGTGCCAGATAGCTAGGATCAGGCTCCTGCTTGCAGCCCCAAGGCAAGAGTTCTTACAAACACACACTTTTTTCTCATCGCCTGTGTCTTCGCATCTGTCTACCTTTTCTTCCCATCCTTCTCTTTCTTTTCTTGGGTTACTGTTTCCAGGCTTCCCAGCAGCACCTGGAGCACTTGCTTGGTCTGCTACGTGCTTACTTGGGTTTTGGAGTAAGTCAAAACTGCAGTCTCAGGTCATAACACAGAGGAACTTAAGCCGGTGGAACAAGAAGGGCCCTGGGGATGAGTACCTAATAGATACGGCATGATGGAACTTGATTCGTTTTTCATCACAGCTCCATTCACGACACGCAAGATGTGGTCTGATGACTGCAGCTTGGCAGGACTTAACATGCACTGTTCTCACTCCAGCTTATAATCTACATATTTTTCCCTTGGCAAGAGCCAAGCAACTGTCATCAGCAGGTTGTGTGGGACTTGCTGAGTGTGGCGGCAGGTCCACTCTGTGTTCGGCTGTAGCCCAGAGTTTTGACTCATCTCCTGGCCTGTGGCGGAGTGGGAAATCTTGCTGGTGTAGATAGGTAAGGGCTTCCCTGTGGATGTGCCAGGGCCAAGGAATCCCCAAGAGCCTTAGCTGGCCATTTCTGAGATGGTGAAACACTTACCCAGAATTCCACTGGGCCAAAAGTTAACCTCTACGGAAAAGCAAACTAATTCACTGTCTCTAGGTTTGATAAGAAAGAACAGAAAGGGAAGGGAAAAACTGAGATTTTAGAATATTCAACATGAAGGCAGCCAACTAGAGGATTCTTAAAATCTGTTTCTAAATTAGGATTGTCCCACATTTATTTGGGGCTTATTCAATGTCATTTGCCTAAGCACTACTTAACAAGACATCTTACCATATGCCAGATAAAACTGGTTGTCAGAACATTACCTTTTAACCCTCTGGAATAACACTTTTCCCCCAGATTCTTAAGACTCTCTTTAATTTCCCGCCAGTTTCCAGCCATTTAAGGAAAACCACTCTGGGACTTGAAAGAGGTAATGTGGCTCAGAAATTGAGCAGGTTTCTCCTCCCTGCTAACAGCATCAGTTGATAATTAGTCCTCATTGTTTTCCAAAGGACAGTCAAGGAAAAGCTTCGTTTCCCATATGAGGTGGCTCAACAAACTGCCCAAGACTACTGCCCCAGCTAGCAAGTGGCCAGAGACCCACAGTGCAATCTGCTCAGCCCTCAGGACAGGCCTCTGGTCTCCCACAACTGGTCTAAGTAGACTTCAGTTCCTCTCTTTACTTTTCCCAGCCTTGTAACATCTCCCTTGAGAGCACTATTTCTATGTAGGCTTTTGAGGGCTGAAACGAGAGAAGAAATTTCCTTAAGTGAGTCATCGGCCTAGTAAAACTTTACTGAAGGGGAGTTTCCTAGCCAATAGAGGACAAGGGAGGCAGCCTGGCACCTTTGGAGGGAACTTCCTGGCATGTGAACATCTGCATCTATGAGACTGGAAGGCCCAGTGGCTACACAGGCCCTCTGGCAGCCTTAGGTATCAAATAAATTAGATAAATACCTAGGGCCTCTCGGATCCAGGTCTTGAACTACCTGCCTCGGAAAGCCCCAGAGTTGAGGTTCCTGCTCTTACTCACTGGTTTTCAGTGTGGTCCCTGGGAAGCAGCATCAGCATCACTGAGGACCTGTTAGAAATAATTCTCAGATACCATCCCAGACCTACTGAGTCAGAATTTCTGGTGCTGGGATACAGAATTCTGTGTTTCAGCAGCTCTCTAGGTGATTCTGGTGCAAGTGCAAGTTTGATGACCATTGCTTTTGTCAAATCATTATTTGTTGAGCCCCTTTAAATCAGTTTGAATTGGGGTTCTCTAGAGGTAAGGAAGGCTGGGTAACAAAGTGAGCCTTTCAAGTCAGGTTGCCTGGTTCTCCGCAACTTCTTAGCCATGTGTCCTTGGATGTCAGTTCTCTCACCTCTAAGATGGGGGAAATAAAACCTCTTCTACAGGGAGGTCATGTGTGTCTGGCCTACATAGTTTCTGTCTTTTTGCCACCCCAATCTATCTAAAAGGAAATATATAGAACAGGACCTACTGTTTCTAGGGTAAAAATCTGCAAGACAAGGAATGGGCACATGCAGGATGCTGATGTTAATACCTTTTTAATTAAGATTTTAAATAGTTCTAGGTTTAAATGAGTTTGCTTCAGCCTTTAAGTCCTGAGGATAATGGTATTTTTAGCAGAAATATGTTTTCCCATGCTGAGTTAGATCCAAATAACTTCAAAGATTAGATTACAACTTGACTCAAGAGTGAAAAGTCACTTGTACTTAAGTTTCCTTTGTTTTCTTTTTAAGAGAGAGAGGAAGAATGGGTCATGTAAGGTTGATTGTTTTTTTGTATTTGTAATTCAGGATTAGGTAAATTTTTAAAAACTAATGAAAATGATTTGAGCATTTTAATTCTTTTAAGGCAGAACATTTTTTACTCACTTCCGTGTTACATTGCTTTTGCTTATAAAAATATACTTTTATAGCAGAAATTTCAGAAAATACAGAAAAACATGAAGAGGAAAGCAAGCACCCGTATCCTACTGCCCGGAAAATTGCTGTGAATTATTTAGTCTATTTCTTTGTGGCTTTTTTCCTGCTCACATTTTAGTGATTGATATGAAGGCATATTTAAGATGTTTTAATGGGATCACACTCTTTTATCACCCTGCAGAGGCAGGATGGAATCCCCCCCAACAGTGATGATGCCACACACACATATCAAGAGGGTATAGAAAGGTTTGTTATGTAATGAGGCTTTCTAGAAAGAGCAGAGTAGGAACCTAAGGAAGTCCAAAGCGGCTTGAGAAAGCAGGGAAAGGAGACTAGCTTGGGGTTTTTACTGCCGGTAGAGCGTGGGGCTGAGTGCAGGGCTCCTGCACACAGACTGCACATGTCATGGGTTGAACTTCACACTGGCGCACTGGGACTTTCTGATCAGCTTGTCCAGATGTGCAACCAAAAGGAAAGGGCAGGCGTGGGGCTTGAAAGTTGTTAGCAGCCAAACGTCAAAGCTGGAATTAGACTCTTAATTACATGTAGTTTTGCATCTTTGTCTTAAATTTAGCATTGTACATTCTGTGCTTAAGAGACAAAGCTTAAATGAAAGCTTTACTGTCAAACTAGATTGCATTTGACATTGGCATTTTGTGGCTATGCCAGTGTTCCTTGTAACCATTTATTTATTCATATTCTAGAAGAAAAGGATGTATGGATTAAAAACAACATTGACTTTTTTTAAATAAAACAAACAAAAGAGCATGGAATAAGAAAATCCCTGAAACAATGTATCTAAAAATGTATCTAAAAATTTTCCTGGGCGGGGTGGGGGGGGGGGCAACAGCTTGCTCAGGAAAGAGAACACAGATCGTTTTCTCTTTGTAAGTATATTTGAATTTTTTGTGATCACACATGACTCTTAATTTACTGCAAAATATGACTGCAGAATGTGTGAGTCATGTATCTAATCTGCTTTTAAATATTGATCCTAAAGAACGTAGGTACTTATAATCCTATATAATCCACAGTTGGAGTCCACACCTTGTGACAACAAAAGACAACTCAAATCAGCTTCAAGCACAGATCGTAGCTAACGGCGGGGCTATTTTTTCCATCTGTAATAAAGAATGTTCCAGCATCTTTAATGACCGAAGATAATCCTCTGTCGTCATCTTGAGCATCTAGGCTATAAAAATATATACACTGCTTTGAAGAAAGGTTCTGGTCTACTGGTGTGAAGTGAAGGTCAGATTATGGAAAACTGGCATTGTTACAACAAGAAATGAAGCCTGCTCATGTTTTCTCTTGGTATTTTCAATAAAGTATCTTGAAGTTTCCAACTTGAAGATGTAACTAAAGGCATGAGGAGTGATTAATTCTAAATGCTCATCACTGACAATGACTTGCTATATGTAAGACAAACACCTATTGAAATGCATGAGGGAAAATGCTTGGTTTCAGATTGAAGGTCTCCTGAAAACGTTTTGAGCATTCAAACATTTTGAACAGAATAATCAGAACAATTTGGAATGTCTTATTGCAAGATAAAAAGCACATTTAAAAAAAAAAAAAAACTACTTAGTAGAATATTAGCCATTCCTATTTTTCCACTTTTGTGCAAAACAACTTGTCATCTCTGAGAAATAAAGGGGGCATGCTTTTTGAACTGAAGTGTAAAGATGGCAATAGAGTGTCAAAATAATAGCTAGATGGGGGAGGTGTCAGACAGGAGGATGGGGGAGGGGATGAACCAGTTGAGAAGAAATCCTCTTCATGGTTTTGAACTGGGAGAAATGGGTGCTGCTTATACTGCCCCTACAACGCGTGGCAACCATGCATCTTAGGCCACCACGCATCTTAGGGGATATATGAGCAGCACCCAAGTATGTTCTCCACATTCAAAACATTGGGAATGTTTCGGAGGTGCCTCTGGTGGTTGCCATCTCCAGACCTCCCCCTTCAAGTTTCTTTCTTCGTCACCAGGGAACCATGTCAGAGTTGAATTTATACTCCATCCTCCCGGGAGCCCTGTATGCTAATCTTGTTGAGATTTTTGGCCACTCAATGGTTGTGGCTTCAAATTGCCTCTCCAGTTTTTCACCCTCAATAAAAAATTCTTCAGCCTTCCCAGGCTTACAAAACAGCCTGAATGAACTTGTTCACTTTAAGGTAGGGACAGAGAAATTGTGCAGGCTGAGACAAAGGTTATGGTGACTGATGGCATTAGAGCAAGGGCTACCCAGAATCCCAGGAGATTCCACTGGGCTTCTACCAAATGGGTCTCCTAGAAAAGAATCTTGGAGACTGGATCTTTTCTACCATCTCTTTGTTTCCTAAGTCCAGTATTAAGAAGGCAGTGAAACATTAAAGATTGTTGTGTCAGCCTTTTACCTCTCAGGCCCTTAGCCATCTTGTGACTGCCCAAGACACTTGGCAGGAGCCCTGGAGCCCAACTTCATATCTCAGGCTATGGCTGAGATCAACCTCAGATCTCAGGCTATGGCTAGCCTCATCATCACCTTTCTTCTTCAGGCTGCCAGTGTACGCCGGGCCGGTGAAACACTGAGCAACCCACCCAATTGCCCATCAGAAACCTTTATTATGGACATTCCCAAATCTCACAGTTTCTTCTCACTGTTGACATACCAAAGAGATGTTTCCAAGACGATCATCTACTTCCGCTTTCCTCCGCCTACCAAGCTCCCAAGGCTTCCAGTGACAACATGTTTCAGTGTCCTTATATCTCTTGGATAGCAGGTTCATGTTCTAATACTAAGCACTTTCTGAATTTATGAGAAGAGAAGTAGTTCTCTGCCTTGGGGAGCATTGTCTAATAATTTTCAGATAATTAAGAACTGCCATGATGTACATTCATACTAAATCTTAGCTTATATGACCCTCCAATTTCAAAGAGTGAGTGTTGACCATGAAAATAATGGTAACAAAAATGAAGATTTATTTAATACTCACTTGGTGCCACATGCCATGCTAGACACTGGGCCTAGTTCCCCCCTGGTTCTCCCAACACCAAAGAAACAACATCAAACGTGCTAAAACTGAGGCTCGGAGTAGTGAGGGGACAGGCCCCATGTCACATAGCCATTCGATATGTTAGAAGCCATTTGAAATCTAGGTCTTTTCATCTCCCCACCCACTCTGGCTATTATTTTGACATGGCATTAGTAATTTTTACAATCTAGTTCCAAAGTTCCTCTGGGATGACAAGTTCAGTAACGGGAAAAAACAATCCTAACATTTCTCCCAAATAGTTGCTGCTTCTTTTTTAGATAAAACTTTAAAAAAATTAAAGAAAGTAAGATAGACCTTGCCGAACAATGTAAGGAACTTCAGAGAACAAAATGACAGGGGGGAACTGTAAGAATACAGCGTTGTTTTGGCGGGATGAAGTCCAACAATGTACACAGACAAAAAACCCATGTCTGTTACACAGTCAGCAGCGTCACGTTAACTATCACTACAATAACAATGATGACCATGATGACGATGTTGACAGAGTTATTGCTCTCGAGAAGTTCTCGGTCTAATGGAGGAAGCATTCAGGTAAACAAAAGATCACAGTACAGTGTGGTAAAAAATAATGCACAAAGTGTGGCCAGGACTAGAGAGAGGAGAACTCGGTCTAGACGGGCAGGTGTGTGGGCAGGGACCGCGGCATCGCATGCACCGCAGACGTGTACTGTGTGTGTGTGTAGGGATGACTGCAGACACAGGAACAGATTCGGGTTCAGACAACTGCTGCTTTGTACCACATAGCACCAGCCTCTTTAGGAGCTTTCTACGAATACCATTTTGGATGATGTTGAAGAGTATTTTGGATTTGTATTCCACTCACCAGAGATTTCCATTGTAATATACAGGAGCAGGCAGGCAGAATGGAAAGAAAAGAATAATGGATTCTTAGGAAACTGAACACTATGTTTCCTGTGATTACAGTCTCAAGGCTAAAGCTCCACACTCACTACAGGGTTTGCTTGACATCAGTGTGTCCCTGTCACACGGTTTTGAGTTTGGAATTAGGGTTTCTTTGGGTTCCAGGAGGCACTGGTTCGGGACTTTGGCAAAAGACCCTTCCTCTGCTGACGTTTAAGCCTGACCACCTGAAGACACTGCCTCTTGCTCCTGGGACATGCTGCCCATAAAAGCAGAGCGAGTGCTCAGTCATTAGCCACTTGTCAGTGAACATCCAATGTCGCCAGCGTGCTGGGCTAGGCTTTGTGAGGGACACCAGATCCTAGTTCTTAGAGCTTCCAGTGTAGCTGAAGAAGCAGTGCCTACACTAGAAAGGAGAAGTGCTTCACTGGCCAACACTGGGGGTGGTGCAGCAAACACTGAGCGCCCTGGCACTTTGAAGGAGGGCGAGAGCTGTCTCGCCACATGGAGGTTTTTGGGGGAGGGTAAGTGAATAGGTAGACGGGCAGCTGAAAGGATGGTAGCATGAACAGGTGGGTGGATAGGTGGGTGGGTAGATGGATGGATGGATGGATGGCAGGCAGATGGGTGTATGCATGGCTGGATGATGAATGGGTGGGTGGGTGCATGAGCGCAGCAGCATTACACAGCATCTTTGAAGTCAATTAGATAAGAGTTGCTGTTCTGTGGTTTACTAGCTACGTGACCTCAGGAGACTTAATTAACCCCTTCAAACATTATCTCCTCACTTATGAAATAGCAGTGATAATACTTGCCTTGCAAGCTTGTTGAGAAAATTGAATGTGATAAGGCTTGTGAAGGACCTGGCGTGTGGTAGACACACGATAAAGGGGAATTTGGTTTGTTTGGTTTTTGTTTTTGTTTTTTGAGACAAAAATCTCACTATGTAGTCCAGGCTGGTGTGCAGTGGTGCAATCTCGGCTCACTGAAACCTCCGCATCCTGGGCTCAAGTGATTCTCATGCCTCAGCCTCCCAAGTAGCTAGGACTACAGGATTACAGTTGCTCACCTCCACACCCTGCTAAATTTTTGTATTTTAGTAGAGACAAGGTTTCACCATGTTGCCCAGGGTGGTCTCAAACTCCTGAGCTCCGGCAATCCACCCACCTCAGCCTTCCAAAGTGCTGGGATTATAGGCGTGAGCCACCGCGCCTGGCCAGAACGCGGTTTATTAATAAGAGTAATGGTCTATAAAAGCTTCCAGGTGGACATGGGATTAGAGCCAGGCCTGAAGAAAGGACTTGAGATGGATGGAAAGGAGGAAAAGGGCGGTCTCTGATGGAAGAGCAGCACTACGAGAGAGTGTGTCTGGAAAGGCTAGAATTGCATCTGGTGTCACTGAGGGGGCTACCAGAGCCACAGGTTCGTGGGGCTGGAGAAGCAGATTGATGCCTGAGTTTAGGGGACTTGACATGCTTTTCATGTCAAGTCATGAGATCTGGCTTTTCCCTGGAGATTCTTGGGGATTACTGAAGGTTCAGAAGGAAGTAGGAACGTTCCCTCTGGACCCACTTTCCTCTGAGCCTGACCTTGACAACATCCGGGCTTCCTTTGAACTTGGAAGCTCCTGGTTTCTTACAGTATTTATAGTTCCCCTTACCTTTTACAAGTAGCTGTGGACTTCCTGTGCCCAGGACGGCTCCAGGACTCTGGCAGCCAGCACTCTCCTTCCTCCCCAGGGAGCAGCTGAAAGACTGCTGCCTACAGAAACTCTCAGCTGACAGTTAAGAAGCAAGTGATTTCTAAAGATTACACAGTACAAAGGGAAGCAACTCCCCTTAAACGTCCTTTGTCAAATAAATGCTACCTGTGAATCAGAAGAGCGATCTGCTATGACTCACCCTTTCACAAGCCTTTGCAGAGAAGGCTGGCTGCCAGCGGATTTTGAGGGCACGGTTCCAGGTGACTATGGGCTCCCAGGGGCCCTGGGTTCTGGGGAGTGACTGTGCTTTACCGCCAAGCAAATCACACAGGGATGCTAACACAGGAACCAAGAGGTGCCTGGAAGGCTCCCTTCCATAGGAGGCAGCAGAGTCAAGGGGAGCGATTCTGTATTACTTCTGGAAGGCAAGAGCATTAGAGCTGAAAAGTGCCCAGAATCCACCTCTTCTTAATGGGAGGTTCCTGGATACACATCAGGAAGTTTGTAAACTGCAAAATTAGGTGGGTACAGGCATTTTGTGCAAAGAGGACCCATAGTTTTAATCAGGCACTTTTGATTCTAAGATCCTTTGTCTATGTCTTGACATCTGAATGCCTCATTTTGCCCGTAGAGCATGATTCAGTGATTTGTTCAAAGCCACACCACCAGTGGATAACAGAGAAGAGAGAGGAAACAAAGTCATCAGAGCCCTTTCTCCTGCCCTGGCCCCATGAGAGAACCTACAATAAGCGATCT